TTTACCATTAAGGAAGAAATAAATACAGTAGGCAAATACCCATAACAATATTATATCGAGCATCGAATTCACCCTACGAGTAAAATCATTATGTACTCAAAAAAAAATTCATGGAATTCATCGAAAAAACTACAACAAGTAGTTATAGATTTTTTTGAAAACTGATTTTACTTTAATATTTCAGTTTTTCCACAAAATTCTTGGAATCTCACACTTCGTAAAACAAAAAAACGGGCTAAAAAATAATAACCATGACCTAATGCCCTATGTTACCATAGGTTAAATAAAACAAATTAAGTTACGTTCTTAAAATGATAAAATATTGCTTTAAAATTGAATATTATATATTTTTTTTATATATTTCGTCGAAAATGTTGTTAGTAGACCAATTTTTTTCTTAAAATAATAGTCAAACTTTTGTCAAWTGACTAAATTAATATAGGGTGTAATAAAAGATCTTTATAAATGCTATTTAAATGTAATGCATTATTCACGTAGGTACCTATCTATAATGTTTATAAGTGATTTTTTATCAAACAGATTGTTTTCTGTATATTGATGGTACTTTAAATTACATTAGAGATTAATTTGCTTAATCATTTTCATCCAAGTTAATAAGRCGTTTGATTTTAATATACATTGTAAAGCATTCTACTCCTATTAGTTATACACTCGATTGGCGATCGATCAGCTTAAAATTGCATGTTTGTCTTTGATTTGAATTCACTAGAACAGCCATAAACACTGGCTACGTATTTTGCAGTCCATTAACTGAATTGAAAATTGGACTCTAAAGGAAATCYCAAACAACTCGTGTAGAYGACTGTTTTAAATATTTATTTAATTTCTCGTTTGGAATGTATTCGGCTAAATGTCAAAGCTTATTTCTTACATTCTTCAACAACATAATACACATAATATGTGAACATTATTAATATAAAATTAGTTCTGAAATATTATTAAGTGATTTGATTACAACATATTGTTTGGACATTCAATTTTCATTTAAATTTAAATCTAATAAGTAAATTACGAAAAAGTAGGTGTATTATACAAAATGCATGTATTGTTATAGTAGTTGATAATAATTATCATAAATGTATATTCCAAAAAAAAACGAGTCACTCAATAATTTAATGAATTTAAATAAAAATATTAAATAGGTACAAACTACATATTATTGTTCTGTGTTTATTTGGACGGGACATGCAATTATAGCTATAGATATACATGAATATTTATATTTATTTCCATAGATAAATTATCAGTGAAACAAATTAGTCAACTAACGATTTTATATTTTTTAACATGATAAAAATAGGTAATATCACACAGCAGTGTTAACATTTGTTGTATTTTTATTTCAAATCTCAAATCCAATATTGAATGTTAAGTGTATATTTAGATGGATATATTAATATAA